CCCAGAGAGAAGTGAGGCAGTTGCTCTGGGCCTGACACTTCTAGCAGAGCTTTCTGGACACAGACTTATTTTCTGATGCTCCAGCATGCATCTATGGGTAGGGTACTTTTCAGACAATTTGAATGATTGTTTTAAAATTAAGCTTTATTTTCTCTGGATATTTTCAGGTTTTGTACTGTATATTTTAATCGATTAGTCTGGGTTCATAGGAATTTATTTCACAATTTGAAGATTTCTTCAATATATACATTTGTGCCCCTGGGATGTTTCAAATCCTATTAAATTTTACTTTTATTTTCTCTGGTTCTTTTGAAAGACAAGACATTGGYTGAATTGGCTTGTTATTTTGGTTAGGAACGTTAGGCCATGGTTCCACATAAGTTCTAAAGCGTCAAGTGAAAAAAATAATTGTTCAATTCTTAAATTCCTAGTCATTGCTTTYTTGCACCCAGAGTCTGTTTTGCTATTCGGGACCCTCCTCACAGATGGAAGATGTTGGAGAGAAGAACCAGGCATCATAAAATTGGGTGCCAGACACAATTTACATCATCATCGTTTTCCAGCTACAGGCACATTGGACTTCATTAGGATACCATTAGAATTAAGAACTCACGCTATTATTTGAAAAGGTAATTGATCTTTAATGCTTAAGGTTTTGCATCTTGATTACAGGTATAGTTTATGTCAATTGGGCTAAAAGTTTGGTTAATAATCAGTTTACCTAATAATATCAGTCTCAGTCATAAGAAGCAAAAATGCCTACAAATTTAATAGACTTGTGAAGCTTAAATACATTCATTTACTTATGGTATTTTAGAAAAAGGCAAATTAGATAGTCTGGGAGAATAGTGGATTCTCCTTGAGATAAAACTTATAGAAACTGAGAATTGTGCTCAGTCTACTTTGTTCTGTCAGAGTTACACCTTGATCATTGGAGATTCATTAACAGCATCCTGAATACATGTCTTTTGTTGTTGTTCTTGGACTAAAGATGAGAGAATAATATTGAGAGAGAGGCAAAAAACATAATAGTTTTTGTTTCCTGATGTTTTACTGAGTTCTTACTACAATTTGGATTGCACCTATTAACATAGTTTCACCTTAAATACAAGGGAAAAAGAAAAACACATGCCTCAGAGTAAAGTCATAAATTCTCTATACATTGCATGACCTCTCTGTGAAGTTAGTTCAATATGCAGAAGACAAGAAAAATTAGCCTGACTTATTCTGGTATGGATTATCTAATATGGTTATAAAATCATTATTGGGCAAGTGTTACAGAAGTTGTTTCAAATTATGCATCACTTTGAACAAACTTTATTGAAGCTTTTACTGCATTAGCCCTAATTACTTACAATAATGATGTGGTGCTCCCCTGAATCAGACCTCCTTTCCCATGCCAGGGGATTGCAGCAGATCAATAGCCATTGAGCAGTTTGATCATGCACGCTGACCTGCTGGAGCACTGGTGGCAGCCACTGCCATCCCTGCCTCTCCCTTCCCAGTCTCCCAGTAGCTCATGAACTGACTTGTTTTCAGTGGCCACACTCTCCTGTGTCTTTGCTGTCCCTCCAACAAATCAATARCTTCACAATCTGTATGCATCTCAGACTCTGAGAAACAAAAAAGTGCCTTAAAAATACTCACGGGAGGGGTGGTCCCTGGTTCATGCGCATGTCCATGTGTTCCTCCTGCACTTAAGCTAGGACAGACTTTTAAACCTTTTACCCACACTCATTCATTTCTCCCATATCATAGATTTATAAAACAAGGTGAGAAATGTTCCTTTTTTTTAAAAAAAAAAAAAAAACTACAGATCAATTATTTGGCAAGTATCTACCAATAACCTACAATGTGCCTGTCAATTGTTTTCTGTTTGATTGTTAAGTACTTTCAAGATGGAGCATGTCTTTTTCTGACATCTCCCATCTTGCTCATACTGGAGAGGCACACAGCTCCTGTTCTCCATTATTCATTTTATGCAGTGATTATTTATTGAGCATCTACTATATGTYAGGAACTGTGCTAGGTCATTTAGCATTCATTATTTTTTTAAAAGGAATTTCTAGTTAATTAGATTATTTCAATATCTTCTTATCTCTCAGTGATTTCTTGAATTAATTTTGCTTTGTTTACCACTTAGTCTAACTTTTCTTTCTTTTTTTTTTCCTACTTCCCCAGAACTATACTATAGAAATGATTATCTGTTAGGAAATAGGCTATCAATAAATTGATTTCTGCATAAAGCCAGAAGATGATGACAGGCACTCTAAAGAAAACAAAAATCAAGTGAGGGGTCTCATCAGAAATAGATATGACTATGGCGCCCAATTAAATGAAATCAAATGCAGAAACTTGGTTTTGGTGAGCACAATCTACTCCACCAGACTATTCTCCAAAGAAGTCCAGGTTCATAGTTAGAAACAAATCTGCTTTTGCTCATGTTGGGCCTATGACAGAAGTGGGGTTCCATTGTAATCAACCAGTAAATCAGAAAAAATTGGGTTCCCATCCAATAGTATGACCTCAGGCAAAACTGTGCATCTCAGGAGGTATCTGTCTCTTCACGTGTGAAACAGAGCKTTGGACACAAGCCCAGCTAGTGTGTTCCCAACTCTCTCAGGTTTGTGGGAAACCATTTATCTGTGGGGAGTGAAATCGCAGGAAGGTCTGGCTTCCAGCACCTGGGGAGATCTCTGGCTTGTTTCCCCCCAAAAGTTCTGCTCGGCAGCCTGAGATCCGGAAATGAACCAAATCTGTACAATTCTCATGAGGGTCTCATTTTTAGTATTGCCAAAACTAAACAGCCTGTTCCCGCATCCTGAAACAGGAGAGTTTTGGCTCAGCTCTGATTACGGGAGAGGCAGGTTTAAAAGTCTAATACCCACACGTTTCTTTCTACTGTCTGTGTCCACTACTGGGTACAAGTGTATATCAGCATGTCATCTAAGAATGGTGTCACTCCCACTGAGTGGAAAGACTGCAGGGTAGAAAACTGGGGGACCACTTATCTTTGTCCCCCAGAAAATATTTATGTTTGGCCCACAAAGGCGGAAAACAGGCTGATTTCTGACTCCATAAAGGCAGGGGTTGCATGCTTAACTGACAAGGTTGAATAAAAAACTAGCAGGGTCGGTAGTGAAGTCCACAGACCAAATCTTTTACTTTAGCTAAGTGATGTCTTCCCAGAGTTTCAGTCCTGACACCAGTTTCCCCTTCCGGAAGTCTGCTCACATGCTTCCCTCTTCCCTTTCACAAAAGTGCCACTGTTCCATCAAGACTCGGGGGTGGCCTTCCCCCATTCCTTTCTGACTTTCCTTTCTTTGATTTCTTATTCTCCTTGTTGACATCATCTACCTGCCATTTCTACCAAAAAAAAAAAAAAAAAAAAAAAAAAACCTTTCACACCCAATATGTGAAAGGCACAAAGGTTCACGATCCCACTCCTTTAAAGCAAGATTTTTTTTTTTCAAATGAATGGAGAGAATCCTGTGTCCATAATAAGTTCAAAAGCTAGTCCCAGAAAAACAAAGTCATGTGATCAAATAAGATTGTGGAATTCTTTGCCTCCCCTCCCAGGGCCTAACAATGAGCACAGGTCACTCAAACCCCCAGAAAACCCTTGCAGGAAGGAAGGCAGCATTACCTACACTTGCTTCACAGACACACACACACACACACACACACACACACACACACAAATAAATAAATAACATTTCACAAGAACATCTGCCAATATTTTGCTGAACTCAATTTAGGAAATGTCCTTCCAAGTATTTCTTTCTGTTATTTTAATTGTGCTCATTTTCTGGTTACCAGTGATTTCCACGAAGGAGGTGGGAATACAGACAAGTTCTCTGCCTAAAGCCACCTGCTGAATGAGAAGATGAGTTTGGAGTGAATATCAGTAATGAGTTTCCTCTTGGGTTTCTGATCATGACAGGCATTTCTAAATGCTGTAGCAGGCTTACCACATTTATCAATGYATTTATTCAGCAGATATCAATGGAAGGTGCCTTCCTTCTGCTTTCCATGAAGAGAGGAAGAACCTAATCCATGTGCCCTGCCTCTTGAGTACAACTTTGTTACAGGGGAGAAGCTAAACAGGGGGACTTTTCTTATGCTGTCTGTCAGAAGATGATAAAGGCACAGGAGMGACGATGGTCACTAAAGGTGTTTGCAGAGTCATGACCAGCTGAGCCTTGAAGAGCTACAGGATGTAAGTGAGAAGCAAGAGTGTCTCCAAGTACAAGTGTTAAGTCACACCCAAGGCCCGTGCACCTGGTGGTAGAGGTGAGACTGGCAAATCGAGGTTGTCATAGGGGCTGGGGGAGATGGTGGTGTGGGGTGTAGAACAGGGCAGTGGTGGAAGGGGTCAGGCTGCAGAGAACTAAGGATATCTGAATAAGGAATTCAACTACTGTTGAGGATTCTGGAAATGATGGAGGAAYTGGTGAAATTGTGGGGTGGAATGTAGCAAGGCTTCAAGGAAACTCTGTGACTGCCATTTTTCAATAGTGATGAGCACACAGGGCGATGAAATGCAGGGTGGGAGAATATGGGCTTTGGAATCCTGACTGTCCCCAGGTTGCTGGGGCAAGTTCCTATCCTCTTAGCTTCTCTTGTGAAGATGAGGATAGAAAAAAGAGTTCTTTGCAAAATATATGAATAATGTGCATAAGGCCCTTGATGCAGAGACTAATAACTAATAAGGCTAATAAAGAGGAATCAATATTGTTATCATATAGTTGGTCCTCACTGGACCAGTACTAGAATAAACTGGAAAGCTGTAGAGAGCATTCCTACCTCCAGGCTCCATGTTTAATCTGCTTTTCTTCTTCCCACGAGCAAAACCCAGTGCTGAGCTGCTCCCTTGCTCAGCGTCCATGGGAGTCAGTTCAATAGAGAACTCTTACCTGCACTCAACAGGTCACTCCTAGTGGGACTTCTCCTCCCCCATCTTCATGGTGGCGAACCCCAAACACTTGAAAACTACTCACCTGCATCTGATGTTGCTGCGGATGCGGCGAGGAGAGACAACATCGGGGTGGGTGGAATTGAGACACTGTCAACTACAGCTGGCTTCTTCCTGGTCATCCCGGTGGACGCTGAGCCCTCGTTCTTACTATGCACTGTCGTCTGGTCCACTTTTAAGTGGGGACTTGGCATCCCTAAAAAACAACCCAAAACCTGTCATTGATTTAAAGGAACAGGATGACTGAACAACATAAAACCTAAATATGATCCTGGGAAATAGTACAATGATTTGAACTCCTTCTGGTACCAAAAAAATGACATTTTAGAAAATTTGAAAGAAAAGAAACAGCCATAGCCATGACTGGCTTTGTGGCTGAAGTTAGGAGTGATGACATTCCAGGTTGGCTGCCTGGAAGGGGATATGCATCCCATTAGTCTTTGGAAGATGAAGCAAACCATCTTTACAAAGGTTATGCTGTGCAGAATAAAGGGGGTTCCTATGGTTTCCACCCCAGCGAGGCTGCTCATCGCAGCTGGGTAGATGAGACTAAATGAGAAGGAAAAACTTTGGTGCAGGTGCACACAAGTTCAGGTATCATCGTCCTAGGTGTGGGGAGAGGGGAGTGTGGGGAGAAAACAGTGTGGGGAGAGGGGAGGCAAGGCTTGGCAGAGCTCATTTTAGATCAGCAAGGAGAGCACATGGGAGAATGGGCAGGATCCAGAGGGAATCAAMCTGGGTGCCCTGGACCGATGAATGGATGAAGAAAATATGGTGTATATATACACAATGAAATATTATTCATCCATCTAGAAGAATAAAATCTTGTCATTTGCATCAAGATGAGTTTATGGAACTGGAGGAGTTTATGTTAAGTGAAATAATTCAGACACAGATCTGAATGTAGAATAGTAATCAGTAGAGTCTGGGAAGGGGGGACGATGGCTAAAAAGAGGCTGTATTCAAGCAGGAAACCTGTATGAATGGGTCAAAATAGCACACTGAATCCTATTAATATGTATAAGTAATATATGTACAAAAAAAAAAAAAAACCCAGCCTGCTGGAGCAGGAAATGTATTGTGGAGACTGGTGTGTGTCAATAGCATAAGGCTAAGGACATGCCAAAGTGGGGGCCTTTGAAGGTTTGAGCCTACAAACATCCCAAGACTTGTCTTGATGATGCTGAAAAGCCTGGTAGAGTCATGAGCTGTTCTGAAACCTTGTTCCTGAGCTTGAACGTAGATGCTGCCACTTTTCAGTTGTGAAATCAAGAGCAAGCTACTTAACCTACAGTTATTTAAACCTACAGTTTCAAGTGTTATGTTTTTATAACTTTAAAAGTTGGAATGGGCTTTGACTGGACAAAGGGGAGGGAGGGAAGGAGAAGGGGCACAGGAGCAGGAAAGGTGGTGGAATGTAATGGACATCATTACCCTAGGTACATGTATGACTGCTCATATGGTGTGATGGTACATYGTGTACAACCAAAGAAATGAAAAGTTATGTTCCAATTGTGTACAATAAATTGAAATGCATTCTGCTGTCATATATACCTAATTAGAATTAATTAATTAATTAAAAACAAAAGTGGAATGATTCCCAGCAGCTCAGGAAACTGAGGCAGGAGGAATGCTAGATCAAAGCCAGCCTCAGCAACTTAGTGATGCCCTCTTAATGTGACCCTGTCTCAAAAAAAAAAAAAAAAAAGAAGAAGGAGGGAAAGAAAGAAAACCCAAAACAGAAAAGTGGAATGGTAACAGTATTATTTTGTTGGATTTTTTGTGAGTATTCAATGAGTCAATTAATGTAAGGTGCTTAGAACAATTATCTATCACATAGTCCATACTACTTAACCATTGTCATCATCATTATTATCACTTATATCATAATTATTRTAATCCACTGCTTCCTCAGAACCAATTTTAATCAGTAAGCAAAAGTTTAGTTCTCTTTACGAACATGACCAAAGTGACCCTTCAACCCATGGGCAGGTATTCAGGGTCTCCTCATCTGTGGGCTACACACCACTGACAGCAGCAACAACAAACTGGGTTTTATCACGTATTTCTTGACACTTTTTTTTCCAATGCAACCAACCTTCGCAGAGTAGCATTATCTCACTGCCACAGTGAGATCAGCTTCACTTGGGCCTTGTAACAACCCTGTGAAGCATGTGGTGTGGATATTACCGTTTTCTCAATTTTACAGATGAGGAGAAAACATTTCTGAGAGCTTAAGGGAAAGCTGAATAAACTCATACTGTTCTTTATGTCAGAGGTGGAAGTTTCTAGAAAACTAGATGCAAAACCCAGGATCATCTTGGTCYGCCTGGCTGTACTCTGTAACACCTAATCACCACCGCAGTCTGTTGAGGCATGTTTCAGGCTGAGGACACAGACACTGTAGTATCATACCTGGAAAAGGCACTTGTAACGACCTAAGGAGAAACCCACACTGACATTTTACTGTGCCTTCTATTAACTTCATCTCATTCCCCACCCTGGTCTCTGAAACCCCTGCTTAAGATGCCACATTTAAATAGTAATGCCATCTATGCTTTTTCTGAATTTTATATTTCATGGCATCTTGAAGGCGAAGATAAACAAATATCAAATTCTATGACAGAAAGAYTGCAAGGCACAACCATTGAGATACACAAACATGGGTAGGTATGGTTATTTACACAAATTTGTGCATATATGCTGGTAAAATATGCACGTGTGCTAGTGGCAGGCTAGAAACAAACATCTAATATCCTTGAAGTGCATCGAGGATCATCTGTAAGGAAATGTATCCAAGCAGTGGTGGTGACTTTGAGTCCAGAGAGCTCAGGGAAGATTGGTGGGGAGAGAGTGTCTACTTTTACTCCCTAGCTTCTTTATTGTTAATATATTTWAAAAAAATCTAAATACGTGCTAAACTTTCTTTTTCTACTGAGAAAATACATATAGTTTGGGGAAAATCTAGAAATCTATCAGAGCGTGAGCACTGGGGTAAAATGGCTGATGAGCTTGAACACCTGGCTGCTAACAAATCTGATGCTGGGGAGAGCAGGCAGCAGTCTGATGACAATTCTCTGTTTTGATCCTCTGCACCACCACAGTGTGATTCCCTCTGAATAGAGGCAGGCAKATCCTCCTGGGCACCTCTAGAGCAATAGACCACAGTCCTATTGGATAACTGCTCCTTTGGAAAAACTCACTGATAAGCCATCTCAGTACCTGTGGACACAGGTTGGGCAGGTACTTCTTTAAATGATGATATGCATGGGGAATGAAGGCAATAAAAGAATATTTAACCCTCACTTGGGAACAAATCAATTTCAAGTCATTTTAGATGTACCCATTTTCATGCAAATGTTCACAATCTAAATGAGTCTCAGTCCACATCATCTCATTAAAGTTGATCTGATGATACCTCTATTGGGCATAATTTGCTACTTAAGTGTTTGTGTTACAGAATATGTTAAACATAATAAGATGACACTTAAAACACTCTGTCATTCAGATTGTCACTATTTGGCTTTTTCAAAAACCCTTAGATAATTTAAGATTTCCCCGATTCTAGTACTGCTTGCGAGTTGTCAATTTGGGGAAACAAATTGAAGAAGAAAAAAAAAATACACAAAAAAACAGGCCTGACTTTTTCTCAGTAATTTTTGGATTTCAAAAGGATAATGGAAACAAACCCAGAAATAACATACACGGGTGAGAGTACTAGATAAACTTTCAACAAAGCCTAATCTAGGAACACTTAATAATTGATGAACTGTGCCTGAGAGCAGAGGTCTCGAGAGATGGAACGGGTGACTCCTTGGGAGAGGGCACGGGGCAGGTGGCCTCGGAGGGCTTTGTTTCCCTTCATTCCAGGTGGCATCTGATGCTCCTGGGTGTGAGGCCAAAGTGGTGGGACATCTGGAGAGTTTCTTCCCAGCATGAGCTTGGCTTCTCTCTCTCCATAGGAGGAAGATTTTAGAGGCTGGAGCTTCATCACAAACACACACACACACACACACACACACACACACACACACACACACAAAGGAATCCTAATAAAGCCTTGTACTGGTTGGATCATTGAGATGTAGCTCCCCTGCTTATACTGGGGCATGAGAAAAGTCAGGGGTGACTTGGATCTGGCAAGCGATCTCTGTCTAAATTCAGGCAGCAGACTGTTTGAAGGCTCTTAGTGGAGTTCAGAGCATGCCTATGCCCCCCTACAACACATGCCACACTGAAGTTTGCATATTTGGAGGCCGGTATGTTTTTAAAGGAGGAAATAACAATGCTAATAACTTTGTGGATCCAACATCTGTTCATAATTAAGAGAAAGAGCTAAGAGGAAACAGAAGAAGTTAAACCTATATGAAACCATCCAGCTATAACCTATTGACCTCTATTGATAATTTTTTTTTTTCTAAAAAGTCTTTGAAACTGTGCGGTAGCCTATCAAGGGACAGTCACTCATTTTCAAAGGTAATTTCTCATAGACCACTTATCCCCTCAAACCTCTACCTGCACACCGTGTTTGCATTAGGGACTTGATTTATGGATTCCAACTCCTGCGATGCAGAAGCTGACTTCCTGTTGCCTTGGTTACTTGGAGCTCAGTTCAAGGTTAAACTACTCCCAAATCAAAATCAGTAGCAGGCTGTATCTAGTGGCCAGGTTATTGACTGCCCCAGGATGCAAAAAGGTCAGAGACCAAAGCACTGCTTACTGCCTTAAGGTGAGTCAATAGCTTCAATATTTTGATTCTGTTTCTTCGGAAGTAGTAGTTGCTGCTCAATTACCTCTTCCCCAGGTTGCTCAAGGTCAAAGAGGTCATAGCAGAAAAGCAGGGTCTATGGTGTCTGACTTTCCCAGGATCCCTTTAATGAGCTTTGTGACCTTGGATAATAAAAACCAGCCTCCCCTTATAGTCATTGCTTTAAGGTTTACAAAGCTAGTTATCTACTTTGCCTCATTCTTCATAGGGAAAAAACAAATAAAAACCCTTGTGGATGGCTACTATTTAGTTCTATTTCTTAGAAGAGAAGTTGAAGTTTCAGAAAGGTCATGTGATTTCTCTAAATTCACAACTGGTAGGAGATGGCACTATCTAGATCCTCTGACTCGCTGCTGGATCCTGATTCCACAGGGTTTCCTTAAAACAAGGGAGTTGATGGAATCATCCCTGGGGAATCCCATGTAATT